ACTCCTCTCTCTCTCTCTCTCTCCACTCCACTCCTCTCCTCTCCTCTCCTCTCCTCTCCTTCCTCATCCACTCGTTCGGCCATTCTCTCTCTCTCTCTCTCTCTCTCGCCTTCCTCCCCTTCTCAATACTCAACACTCGTATCCAAGTCTCGAAAAAACAGTTTCAGGATCGAAATCCGTAAACAGGATAAGATCGCCGTCCTCGCAAGTTCGGAGAGGGAAAGATCGACGCCACCTCCGTGGAATCCTCGACTGGTCTCCGCGACTCCTTGTCGCGTAACGATATTGTTTCCTGGCCGTGTTTCCTCTCCTTCTGTGGAGATGATCCGATCATCTCTGGCAGCAGCGGTCGAGAGAGGGTCCTGTTGCGCGTCGACGCGAAAATCGGCAGTTTGGATGATGGGCGGCGGCCATTGAACGACAACGGCCACGACAACGACCACGGTTATGGTGACAGCGGCGGCGACGGCGACGGCGGCGACGAGGATGATGACGAGAACGACAACGACGACGACGACAACGACGACGACGACGACGACGACGACGACGGCGACGACGGCGGCGACGACGGCGGCGGCGACGACGATGCCGGCAACAAGAATCGCGACGACGATGAAGCAGCTGCCGCTGCGGACGCGGCTCGGGGCCGCGCGGGATCGTCGACTAGTCCTCCTCGGGACCCATGTTCATCAGCATCATCTTCTTCTTCGCGATCTTGCTGTACTTGATGTCGATCGGCTTCGTGGTATCGTAGAGACTCGGCGCCTGGAGAATGATCAACACCGTGCCGAGCACGCAGGCCACCGTGAATATCCAGAGGAAGATCCGGTCGAGCACCATCGCCACGTATTTCCAGTCCTCCTCCACCTGGAATCAGAATTCAGACCGGGTTCGCGTCAGCGTTGATTCGATAGACGAAATCCTTCTCCGCTCGTTGAACACTCTTGACGATAGGATATCTATTGGGTATCGTTGCAGCCTGACCGCGTTATTTCGTAACGAACCGTAGTACAACGTGAGAAATTTTATTAGAAGATCGCGAAGGAACTCCATCGTAAATATAATATCTCGTTCTACTACTAGGCGACCATCGTCCCTTTCATCCGGCGGAATTCCTCCCCTTCCTCGTTCCGAAGAGAGAGGAATGAGAAACATTCTTCTCGAGTTTTTCCACCCCGTCCAAGTATCATCTCGTAAACGTAGCGAAAATCCAGCACACGTACTCTCACGGAACTTTCTGTGTCTAAGGAGTTAAAAGGCGAGCCCTATCTTCCCAACTCTCGATCGACCAACGGATCTTTTACACGTATATATAAAAGGGGGAGGGAACCGATCCAAAGGGTGTATCGACTCCTTTCGATTCCTTTTGACAAGAGGAGGAAGCGGACGATAAAACAGACACCCGATACTTTTATCGTACTTTCCCCTGAAACGCGTATATATCTGCCTCTTTTCAATTCCTTTCTCGACACGCATCGACGATGCTTTTAGTCTCGATAGACGAACCCTCTCCCTTATTCGATCCTTTCCAACATCCTTCGCAAATAGATCCAGTGACTCGACGGAGGAAGGGAATAAGGATAAACGAGAGGCGGAAATGCGATCTTGAAAAATTTGTTTAATCGCAATATCGAAATTCCTTTCTATTTGATATTGGTGCGTTTATCTCGAATTCTTTTCCGTTCGAGTAATATCTTAAAAGAGTCGAGAGGATTTCTGAATTGCAATTCCATGCGAAAACGTGACAATGATCGAGTTTCGAACGTATCTCCACGTATTGTATTTTAATTTTCGCTGATTGTAAACTTGCGAACGCAAAGATAACCTTACCAACGAGTCCATTAGCAAGAGCCGAGAAAGAAACGAGTTTCTCTCTCCTCCCTTTTTCTTCTCTCTCTCTCTCTCTCTATCGCGTCTTCCTCCATCCTATAATTACAAGTCGCATCGTGTTCCAACGCAACGAACCGTGCACGGAACCACAGACTTGCACGACTTTTTTCCACGAGCTTGACTTCCCTCCACTATTTTAGCATTTCTCGCGAGCGACTGGGTGCCAAGAGGCAATTTCGTCGACGCTCGATGTCCTTTCCCGCCAGAGATCAGCATCCAAGCCCCTATCTCCGCCATCTTCCTATTCCCTATTTCTTCCTCCGTTCCCCTAGTCGTTCTCCACGGCCGTTCGCATTCAAAAACCAGACTCACGTTCACGGCACCTCCTCCCGATCGGGGGCAAACGCCCTCCTCGGTTTTTACCGTCGTACGATAATAGAGCGAAACTGTTGTGAAATGCCAACGACCAAATTCAATTGCCCGATTTTGCGATTCCGCTATTCTGTTCATGGATTAGAAAATTTTCGTATTCATAGTTTTCCACCTATTTAAAAAGAGAAATGAAAAGAATGCAAGATCGTTTGAACGTTGATCAATTTTTCGACTTCGAATTGGAAAAATTGTGAAGCAACGCTATGCAATATATGATAAAATGTCGATCGTTATTGCATATCTCGACAAATTTCCAAACGCTCGAACTAAACGCCGATTAATCAATATTTATATCCCGTAAGCAATTAACACCCAAGCATCTCGGTAGAAAGGACACGATATCGTATAATAAAAAGGGGACGAGAAAAGCAGCTCTAGATTAGATGCGAATAGAACTCGTAAAGAAACGCTTCGCGAAGTACAGTTCGGTCGATGATTTTTTTTGTTCAAGCGAGTTTATCCCCAAAGCGAGTTTATTCCAGCTCACGCCTTTAGGCGCGTGATTCTACGCCCCTCTATGCCTATCACCGGATTCGAGAATGACATGTATACACGGATCGTGTGTAATTTTTCCCGGGGAAAAGAAGCACGCGCGGGAGGACATTAACCGAATTAAGCGCGGTTAACACGGGTCACGCGGCTAGAGGGTTCACCACCCCCGAGAATATGGACGCACAAAGCCCTTTTCATTCGTTCATTCCAGCCGTTCCAGTCGGTCGACGACAAGACGTCACGTCTCCTCTTTCAGCTATTCCCTTTCTTTCTTCCCTTTCTTCTTTTACTTCTCTCTTTTCTCTCCTTTTTTTTTTCGCGAATCCACGAGGAGAGAGAAAAGGGCGTGTCGCGCGAAAGGAATGGCGATTCTTTTTTCCTTTTTTTCGGGAACAAACGCGGGAACATTGGCGGAGTTTAACGAATTCGTGGACGCGACAGGCCACGCACCTGTTCCCCCGGAAGTTACGTGTTTGACCGTCGACCCGTAAAATCCGTTCGAAACACTCGTTTCGCCGCGTTAGCTCGGTTCTTCGACCGTTTCGCGCGATTTTGCAGACGCGCGTCGGCGAAAATACCGTTTTCACCATTTTGAAAAACGATTCGTGGACGCGTGAAGAGATATCGAAGAGCTTTGAGGCGATCGCGTGGAATTATTATTATTAGAGTTCGGTTTCGTTGGGAACCGAAAAGATACGGTACGACGAAAAAATTAAATGGAATCTATCGAATATATACATCTCGTCGTTATCGATCGATCCTGTTCGATCAATTTTCGATTTCGTCGTTCTCGAAGGAACAACGGGAAAACTTATCGATATTTTTATATATACGGTTGGCGATATCTAATGGGGGATAACGTAGAAAGGAGGAATTCGTTTGTGAATAACGGAGTAAAGAGAAGGTGCGTGGGGGAATGAAGAACAACGGGGAAAGAACGCCCCATAAAGAAAATTGAGGAACATCGGGCTCGATCGATACCGTTCCCTATAGTTTTCCACAAGTAGCGAATATGCGTCAGGAATATCGGCGCCGCTTGAGATATTGCACGATAACGAATAATATAGTTCCACAGTTTTCTCACAACTTATACCCCTTATATATCTAACATTTTCCTTCCTATTTGTCCCGAATACAATACGAAAAGTTACATACACAACTGAACAAAGTAACAAACATTATTATTAATATTAATTATAACTCTATACTTTTCACATCAATTTCCAAATTTCTTTCCTTTTCTCTTTTTTTTCTTCTTAAGAAACAAACTTAATCAGAAACCAATTTTAATCTAAACCTTCGATATTTTCCAAATTCCTTTCATTTCCTTTTTCCGAACAAACTGTTAACGATAATAATTCCTCACTTTTCAAATTTCTAGAAACTTCGCATACACTTTCCAAATTCCTTTCGTTTCATTTTTCCAAACAAACTGTTAACGATAATAATTCTCCACTATTCCACAATTTCGATTTCAAATTTCTAGAAAGAAAAATCTATCGAAATCTATGCGAAATGTATTAATGTATTAATCTAAATCTTCGATATTTTCCAAATTCCTTCCATTCTTTTTTCGAAACAAACTGTTAACGATAACAATTCCAAACACATTTCAAATCCCTCAGAACGGGAGAAGAATGGAAATCTGGAAGCGCGGAAGCATTGGCAGGAAGTGGCACAGTCGCACGCACAAGCGGCGTTTTCGCGTGCATTGGCGTGGACGCATTTGGAGCGGAACTTCGCCGCAGTGCGTTCCACCGGCAGACGGCTCGCGTTCGATAATTTATGAACGCGGCGGCCGCCGCCGCGCGACTTTCCGCATCCTCGAGCACCCCTGTCGGGGGTCGTGACTCCTCCCAAGCAAGCGGAAGTCGCCCGGTTGATGCGGCCACCGCGCGGAAATCAAGGAATCTCCGGAGAGGCAACTCGATATATATATATATACGTATATTGAATTTGGCCACGGCCCGCCTTGGCTCCGTCCAGATCCCGATTCCGCTCGAGATACGAGATCGTTCGAGATAACTATGCGGCAAACCGTCCCGCGATACGATATGGGAATCGAATCTCCGAAATGTCGGAGGAAAATATCGAGGATTCGCCTCGCTTTTGGAAATTTTCCCATCTCTCATCCTATTTATTATCGGGCAAAATGGGGAGGCATCTTCTGTTCTGGCATCTTTAACCACTTTCCAAATTCATCATTCGATGATGATAGGTGTGTACGATTTTTGCCAATTTCTCAAGAAGGAACTGATTCGAAATGATCGAAAATAATGTGTCGCGATGCCAAATCGCGGTGATAATTCGTATAATAATTGGAACTGTCTTCGATGAAAACAAATGTATTTATACGCGTTATATATTGTTATATATAAATGTATTAAACGTGTTATATAAACATAGCTCCGCTTTAGAAAAAAATTGCGATAAAAATGTGAAACGTAAAGTCGACGGTGACTTGATTGGGCCCCGAGACTTTTATCCGCGATCGTGCATCCTTCAAATTCGTCGATTCGCGGCAAGAAAGGATTATCAAAGGATTAACGATCGAGAGCGATGTAAATCACGTTCAAACACGTTCAAAGTAACAAATGATGTACACATTCCTTTCTTATTTTTACTCGCAGAACGTACGGTCTGATCGTAGCGTTACATCGAAAAAGATAGTATCTTGTAGTATTTTGACTCCAATCTCTCCAGCGCATTGTCGCATTCGAGATTCAAATTTCGATGATAAATCGCGTAACTAAAACCATATTACCTCGAACGGTTCAAAATTCCCGTGTCAGAAACAGATGAGCTTCCTCGATTCTTCTACGCGCGAGTCACGACCGATCGTTTCTCTTTCTCCAAGCGAGACGGAAGTCGGCGGTGAAATTTGGAAAGAAATCGGGGAGATTCGAGAAAGGGAAGTCATCACTCCCCCGAGGGACATCGAATAAACTCGATACCACGACGGGTCCGCGAAAGTGTGCCGCGCAAATATGAAATAGGGGAGCATAAATTCGTTCGAATTTACGACCGGCCCCGGACAAACGTCTCAACTTCGGGACGGGTTCTCCCCGTGCTGAGACCGCCGTCAACGTCAGAATCAATTTCCCAAGTTTTACATCCGCCCCCTCCCCGGCAAACGAACTTTCGGCCGTCGAACACTCGACCGAAACTTTCCTCGAAACGCACGTTTCATCGTTCTTTTTTTTTTCTTCTTTTTCTTTTTCATCGATCTCTATCTTTCGTGTACCTTCTCTACCTTGTAACGCACGAAATGATATATGACAATCGGTTCTCCTTAAGATCGATTTACCACACTCGAATATGCGTATATGCGTTTGTGAGCTTAACTCGAGAATTTCGTTGTCGATTTTTGTCAGAACGTTTCCTTCGATACCACTCTCAAAGATTATTACATTACTTCGAGAATCTTCTCCTTTCTTTTTTTATCTCTCCAACGACGACGAGTCGCGCGTCTCCCACGATAACAAGTTTTCCCTGCCGCTTCACCACACGTCGAGAAGTTTAACCGGTTGCCGAAGGATATGCAACACGGAGTTGTTGTTGGCTAGGAAGATTGATGCGAAACGATCGCGTTCGAGAAGCTTATCGCGAATTTTCCTGATCGGATGACAACCTGGCCCTTCAGGATTTTGCATCCTGAAGTGAAAATAACGGCCGGTTAACTTCTCGTCTTTTCACGATATAAAATAGTGCATGCCGCGTGAGAGCAAGAGTTGAGAGAACCATATTCTCTCTTTTCGACTTTTGACTTTCGAAATCCAGAGAAACTCGATTCATTTCTTTTGTTTTTTAAGGACAAAGAGAAGTGCAATTTTTCGGTTAATTTGCAAGCAAATTAGAAAATTCCAATGGAAATATCGTTCGATCCAACGAAACCAACGTCGGGAATCCGACACTCGCGAGCAACGATTTTGGAAACGATCGGTTCAACGGTATGACGAACGTTCGATCGTGCGAAACGCGATCAGACGAACCGTGACGCGTTACGTTACAGGATGCTCGACGCGATCCCGTGTTAAAATTAATGCGGATCTCTGCCCTAATCCTCTTCACCGAGGGAACGTGAATATCCTCGTTGCGATTGTATACATATATACATTCCTATCGACCGATCATTTGTGATTTTCCAAGATGGAAATCAAGATACGGATATAAGATCGTATATATCCTTTTAATTGTTGCGGAAAGATTTTCTATCCAATCGGGGTTGGGATATTTTAACCCTTTGCACTCGAGGTCTTTTTCGTTCGGGCATATCAACAACTTCAAATGATTAATAAATTAACGTATAAAAACGATTTATATTTTAATATCTTATGTATATCTTTACCTATAAAGAGAGAAAATTTGTTATTGAATATTAAAGTTTATATCGTTGTGATATTTTAATAATAATGTGATTAACCAACACTTTCACTTTCTCATTTTATCGAGAACAAACTTTAATCAATTATTTTTCAACTTGTTTTCTCAACTACTATCTCTATTTTTATCACTATTTTCCTTCTCTCTATCGTCGGCAATTTCTTAACGAATAGAAATAACTTCGTTATTTGACAACGAGATCAATCAAGAAATTCACCTTCGAACTAATTTGAATCACCACGCTTAGAAAACTCGCGAAAACTTTGAAAATAATATCTACCGGAACCAACTCGGGAACGTAACGTGGAGAATGTAGTTCGATCCCTGTAATTCGAGATTAAACAAAAAAAAAAAATCTAACCACTCGACATTTTTAAAAGAATCAAATCACACGAGTAAATATCACCGTCACCGTCTCGATCGTACGTTCCTCGATCAATCGGATCTTAGGGGGAATAGAAGGGACTAAGTCGTGATGAGACAATGCGTATATATACTCACGCTCTCGAACTTGTCCTTGTTCTTTGCGTGCTGAGCGATGAACCTGGCATCGTCGATGGTCTTCTCGATCTCGCGAACCAACGGCTTCTCGAATGTGGGGCTGACGTCCTCGTGAACGTATGCGGGGCTGGCCGGGCCGAAGAGGTCGTCGTCAGCCCCCGGCAGTGGGAGCGAGGGTAGGGGCTCCTCGAAGCAGGGCGCTACGGTCGTGCCCACGGTGGCCACCGCGCCGAGGTCGTATCTGGTCGCCGAGGGTGGCAGACCGTGGGCAGGTATCTCGTACTCCCCGCTGAACCTGTTGCCGTAGTACGCGTCGTACTTGTCAGTCTCTTGTACATGGAACACATCGGTGAGCATGCCCTCCGCCGGTTTCCCGTTGGCCGCCTCCACGTCGTCGTCGTCGTCGTCCTCGTCCTCGTCCTCGTCCCCCTCCCCGTCCACCGCCTCCCCGTCGGCGTTCATCCCCGCAACGCCGTTCCTCCCAACCACCACGACCTCCTCCTCCTCCTCCTCCTCCTCGTCCTTCTTCGGCCTCTCGATGAGAAGGAAGCGCGGCAACACTTGTATGAACACCACCCTCACCCACCTAGCCATGCGGTGGGTGACGGGCGAGCGAAAGTTCACGTTCAGCACGGCTATCGTCACCACCACCGAGAGGGTGACCAGCACCATGGTGAACAGTAGGTATTTGCCGAGCAACGGCACCGTTAACGACGTGGGCGGTATTATCTCGGCGAGCAGTAGGAAGAACACCGTCAACGACAGCAGGATCGAGATCGAGAGCGAGACCTTCTCCCCGCTGTCGCTCGGCAGGTAGAACACCAGCACCGAGAGGAAAGATATGCCCACGCACGGTATGATCAGGTTCACCGTGTAGAAGAGGGTCTTGCGGCGTAGGGTGATATTGAACACGATATCGGGGTAGGGCTCCTCGCAGCATATGTAGAACGCCTCGTTCCTCACGGCAGGCACTTTTATGATGTCCCACTCGACGGAAATGTAGTAGTCGGTCAGGTCGATCCCGACCTCGATTTGGTTCGAGTCTTCGGTCTGGGCGAGGTGTCGCAAGTCGACCTGCGCAACGAAAAAAACCAACGGGGAATTATACGCCAATTAAATTTTATCTATCTACCAAATGTGTAATCCTCCATCTTCATCACCCTCCTTGTCTCGACGATTCGACGATTCGAACGAGAATGCACGAGTGTACGCGAGTGTATATAGGTTTCCGCGCCTCTACGTGACTAAGAGTGGACAGAGAGAAGAGAAGAGGAGAGTGTGACGAATAATAAGGGTATGATTCTCGCTAAAACTGGGAAACGAGGTACGCTTAGGCCAAAAATAAAACGACGAAGGACGAGTAACTTACGAAAAATCCATCCTATTTTCATCCCATTTTATTTTCTTCCCCTCTCCCCTCCCATCCGTTTCGAGATGGAGATCCGATTGTTGTGAAAAGAGAGAGAAGAAGGATGAGTCGGGAAGAAAAGTCGATGATGAACCGAACCAAAGAAATTGGATACTCCTAATGGGCGCGGGCTAAGGCGTGGGTGGTGGATTTCACTCCGTCGTATATCCGGGATAAACTCCCCGGCGAACGGAGCCAAATCTCTGTTTCCATCGAACTTCTAACCCGCTGGCTAGACCTCTCCTCGATCCCTCCCCTTTTCTCGGATCTTTCGATCGGCTGCGCGCATAAACCGCACTCTCCTTCGAGAAAAACGCCACTCAGAGACGAGGCGAGTGACAACGAGTCGAGGTGATGATAAAACACTCTCCTCATTTTTCCGGAAACGTTATACGCCCCCTTCCTTTTCTCCCCTCCGAGATTGTTCGAAATTGGTTATTTACGAATCGAATTATCTCGCTCGTGTATCGAGTGCGTATACAATTAGCATACTCCTCCTTTTGTGAACTCCTCCTCGTCGAGGCTCATAATTAACAGCAATCTCAATATCTCCTCGATATCTGTTCGAGCGACAGTTGGAGAGGTTGCTCCTTGATTAAGCGTATAAGGAAGCGCGCGCAAGGAGGAGGATACATTCCGTATCGAGTTTGGATTATATCTGGCGGTTAATCATCCATCTGAGCGATATCGATCCACCGAGCGAATTTACATCGCAAGGGTTGAATAGTTGGGCAAACACGTCTGCCCCGATTCGATCCATCGATCGATCCCTAATTGCGTGGAGGAGGAGGGAGAAGAAAACGCGAGGAGATTGTTTGCATCTCGACTGGGTTAACCACCCAGAGTCTTTCGAACGACTTGTTGATTCCACTCGTCGGGGAGAAAATGAATCCTTCTCCTTTCTTTCGAAAACGCGTGTTCGCTCCCCATAATTAATAACGACAGATCTCAATATCTGCTCGATATGATTTGGAGCACTGCTTCGACCAGCAATAAACTATCGCAAGAAATATTCGAAAAAGGAATCCTATCCTCGTACGTGTTGTATTCCTCTCGCAACGTCCCCAATAATTCCACGGGAGTCCAAGTTGAGCCGAGAGGAATTTTTATTGCACGCTCTGATCACCTAACAGGCGAATCCTTAAAGCCTCGCCTTCCATTCCTGCAATTTACTTTGTGAACGGTCGTATTTCGTCGAATGTCGAACCTTGTTTGCTCGTTACGTGTGTATATATATATATAATATATATGTGTATATATATATATATATATAGAACGGATCGATAGGTTCGGTCTACTCCCCGAGTATTTGCGCCGCGGCAGAAATAGAAGGGTAATACACTTATCGTCGGTGTTTATGAGCGTACGTGTTTTGTTTCTCGATAAAATTTCCCCGCCTCGGTATATTTCCACGGCTCTCCACGAGTTTATCGACCAACATCCCCTAATTATAAACTAAACTTTTTCCCTACTATCACCAGATAGTATCCCCATCTGCCACCTTCCCCCTCTCTTTTCATCCTGCATTACGATACGTCGTGAATTTTCTCTATAACGTTTGTATGAAGATACACATTTGTCGAAACATTGTTTTAGACGTATTCTGCTTAATTTTCCCTTTGACCAATCAATCGTTCCATCCTCTCTTCAAATACTCCAAAACACACTCGTTCCACCATCCTGGTCCTCGATCCAAACATTCCTCGTTGTGTCAAATTCGAGGAGCAAACGACAGCGTCGTTTCGCGGAGAATAGAATGTATTTCTTCGCTTCTGTCAAAACGGATTATGCGATCGAAAGCGGAGGAGGATCGAGAGATGCTCGATGGTTGGAATGTCGAGGGGTGGATCGGAATGGATATTCACCGTGGAACGGTTTTATCGTTCCGGGATTTATTCCCGCGATGGTTGTTCACCCGGTCAAATCCACCAACAGCTGGATTTGTTGGGGACGGTGGATAAATCTGTCCATCCACGGGAGAAAGTCAACGGATGGTAGGAAGATGAGAGGAGGACATTTCGATCCTGTCGTAAAATTATTCTTCCCTTCTTCTTCTTTTTCCCCAACCTTCGAAATTTTTGAAGACAATTTTTACCTCCATTTTTCTCGTCAGTTCTCGTTCAATCGAATCATTAAAGGATATAAAAATATTTCTAAAAATCCAATCGATGCAGCTTCGCTTTGCTGCTGCTCCTCGCGTATCGATCGAGGGGATGGAATTGGAGAGGGAGGAAAAATGTGGAGAGGCACGCATCCGTCAACGGGCGGGAGAGGAAAAAGGTTTCATCATCGAGAAGACTCGCGAAGAGCAGGGTCGATGAATCGTGACGTTTTCCCGATGCCTGGCTCCAGCCCAGTGTCGAGAGATTAGACACGTCCATATAGGGGCGAGGGCGTGAAACTCTTTCTCGCGGGTAGAAGCCTAAAGCCCCCGTTTTAGGCTGCCGGAGATGTTTAAGACACGGGAGAATATTTCGAAGCTGAAAGCCGCCAAGCGCAGCCGATCAATTATGCCACGTTTTCAACGCCTTCTCCACCGTGTTTCTTCCACTTTCTCTCGATGCACGTCCAGAAATATTCCGTTTCGATTTCCAAACCTATGTTGTTGAAACTGGATAGATTGAGATCACCGATGATCAAACGGAACGTAATGAAGAAAATTTGTTTTCTGATTTATCTTCTTTCCAATGGTTATTCATAAAATCGCTCGCTTTGCATATAATGGAAAAAGAAATAATCGACGAATTTCACGTCAAACTGAACAACTTTGATTATTCGAACGATTCTCGTCGATTTTTATGGAGAAGAAACGCGTAGATGATTATTACGATCGAAAGAGATCGAATATATAAAGAGATCGCATGAACTTTCTTCCCTTTAAACGAATGATAAAATAACGGAAAAATGAATTCTCGAGGAAGATCTCGCTCTCGGTTCGAACCGTTTTTCCATTATTGGACACGGGTTTGGGATGTTATTGATAACGGTTGAGAAACGATGAGAAATTAACGTCGCGACTTCCAATTCTAAGGTAAAAAACGAAAGAAGAGAAAGAAAGTTTGAAAGAAAGTAGGGAAAGAGGGAGACAAGTTGGAGTCGTCGAAGATCGTCGAAGATCCTCGAGGAAAGTTTTTATTTTGAAGTTGGATAGTCGAGTGGAAATTCAAGTAGAAAATGTATCCAATGTTTTCGCAAATAATTCTAGATATCTACTTTTATACGAGTTTCGATCCCGATATGACTCGACCATCCATATCGAGTCTCTCTCCAATTAATATCCCGCCCATTTTAAATTATTCAACTTCATTTCCCCCGTGAAATTTTGCGTTTCGACCCGTGAAGAACAACGTGCAATTCCAATTTCCAGCCTCGCGCTCGGAGAAAGAAACCAGACGACCGAGTCGTTGGTTAAGAAATTCATCGAAGATTCGCAGCGTGATTCTGCAGCGGCATCAATTATTCGTACGCAACGAAACACGAAACGGTTCGAACCGTTTTTCAGAATCCAGAGGGGGATTGGCGGTGGTGGGCTCGAAAGAAAGAAGGAAAGTAGTAAAGGGGAATAGAACTGTCAGCGCAAAACTTCCAACTTCTAATAAATAGTTTAGACGCGACGTGAAAAGTCGAGGGCAAAGGTTTCTGTTGCCGAACGGGGCCCATCCCGGAATTCCATCACCCTTCCGCCTCATTTATATTCAACCCCATGAATTTGTATCGATGGAATTTGGAACGCTGGCTAGATTGGCGCTTCCGGGTCGGTGATGCCCGACTCGATATCCTCGATCGGGTCGAATTAACGTACGATGATTCGCGACTGACACGAGTTTCTCTGAAAATTTCCTCGAAAACTTGAGAAATTAATTTCGGGGAACACGATTGGGGGATATCATTTTTCCGTATTCGGAAACGAGACCGAAGGGAAGAAGCTCGATCAGGATTTATAACTCGATCGATTTTCTTAAGGGATACTTCTCGTTGGATCGTGGGAAACACGATCTCGTTTACTTCGTTAAAATATCGTTCGAAAAGAAATTTAAAACTCTTGCCAAATTGCCATTGGAAACCAATCGGGTCGTTTTTGTGATCGGATCGAATTAATCGTTGGATCTCGCTCGATATTTTCCATCCAACCTCCTCCTCGATGACAGAGGATTATAAACGATAATATTTTTGGATTTATCGGTGGAACTGCGTTAGAGAGGAAGGAGATGGAAAAAATGTATACGTAGATCGAAATGTATGTAAATGTGATAAATCGGATACGAGATGGAAGCGAATGTGTATACGCGTTGAACACGTCGGGAAAGCTCGAGTTCCAAAAAGAGCTCGGTCGACGTTCCATTGATGCGTTTCTTCTTGCTCTGCGCATTGTAATCTGCCGGTTCACCCCCCCACGTTTCAATGTAACCTGTCCACCGACGCGCAAAGAAATTTCTTTACTTTTTCCCAACAACCTTCCCTTCCTTAGGGAAGAAGAACATTTTAACAATCTCTCCGCGTTTCTATCCTATTCCCCCTATCATCATCCGCAAATAAATCCGGAGAACGTCCGTGTTATTCCAACGGATTACCTACCTAAACGAATCCCCAACGAATCTCACATTTTTACACAGTTCCTTTTTATTATCGTAGCACGTTGCGCCGATTCGATTGAAGAAATTTTAAAAAATTCTTTATAGGGAAGCGTAATTGTACTTTTCTCGCTGTCTTCTCTCTCTCTCTCTCTCTTTCTTTTTTTATCTTATTCCTCCTTCGATTCGCCTTAAGAAATATCTTCGAATCGAAATTCAATTTTTTTTTTTTATCGAACGAACGAAACTCCACATCCGATCGAACAAGAAATCGAATGGCCGCGTAAAACCGCGCGACGATCCTGCCAAATTATCCCTGGCCAACTCGGGGATGGGTTATGGAATTTTTTACTAGTTCCACCCGCTGGCTTTCCATTGATCCCGCGGAATCCCGTGGTTTTATTTAGCATAAAGTTTTACGCGACGACGACGGCCCCGGAGTCACAACTCGTGGTAACAACGCTCGTTCGTTTCGAATGCTTTCGATGGAGGCGGAAACGATCGGCAAAGAGAAAACTCTCGTTATATCTCCAGAGAGAAGAAGGGGCACGATTTTCGTCGCGAAGTTGACCGCGGCGGATAAAAATCTGGAAAATGAGAAATGGAAGGGGAATAAAAGAAGAAAGTAATATCGAGGGTAAATATATTCGAGGTTTCGTATATCGTACGAAGAGTTGGGTCAATTAATTCGTTGAAAATCTAGTTAAAAATAAAGTTACCTTCGAGTAATTGCTGGTTAAAATGCTCCAACAACGTGTGTTTGTTCGATCCGTTATTATTATTATTATTATTATTATTATTATCTCCGATTATTGTCATTAACTTCGAACGAATAAATTGTCCAAGTAACTTTATTCGTAACCCACCACGATAGTTTTCGCGTTACGCGAACGATCGATGATAAAATGGTAAAAACGGAGGAATCTTGTCATTATTACTCACCGTGTACCCGTCGTAAGTCCACGAACCAAACTTCATGAAGCAAGTCTGCTCGTCAAAGGGGAAATACTCCACGTCGATCTCGCAAAATGATTTATAGATGGCCGGCGGTTTCCACACGACCTTCCCCGTATGGTGCAAAATTGCCTTGGTCATAATAGTCACCTCGTAGTTGCCATCGGCGCTGAAAACAAAATTAATGTCCATCCTGATTTATGCCCCCTTTTTACCCACCCTCGTTAGGACCCCCAATATCAAACCCCTCCAAGTTAATTAATCACGCCCCTTTCCTACCTACCCCACTTTCACCCCTATTCGTTCCAATCGATCTCGCGACTAAAAAAAAAAAAATTTCTCCTTTCCCCCTCCCCCTCCTTCTTGCATTTTTCTTTCTTCACTTTTTATTCTCGTTAAGAATAAACTTCGATTCGAACGAGAGGATAAGGAGCAGGAGAGGGGAGGCAAAGTTTTCAACTGGTATCGGAGATAAGAAAATCCTCGACGATAAACAATGGAAGGTAAAAGGAAAAGCGTAACAATCTATACACACGCACGCACACAAACAGAGGAGGAAACACACAACAATGGAGGAATAAACTCGGCCGGATAACGCGGACGGGATTTCTAATACAATACGCGCGGGTGCAGCTGTCGTTGCTTGCAATTGCACGACTTGTTGCGCTCCATTTTCTCCACCGACCTTACATTACATTAACCCTTTCGTCGATTACCTTCCCCTCCTCGTTTCCTTCGATAATCGTCGATTTGTAATCCGACTCGATTTTTCAATCCCATTTCTTTTTTTCTTTTTTGTTCGATTTTCTTTCTTTCGCAGGGAGGATTGCTTTCTCTCCAAATGCAAGCACGATACGTGAAAAATTTCTCGTGGACGATCCGATGAATTGCAGCTTCGTGCAAAGCTTCGCGGCGATATTGAAAATCGCACGGAAATCGCGTTCTTGAATCTTAATATGGGCGAGGCGGCAGGTGCGAGCGGATAGCCTCGAGGATGAATGAACGCGGCTGGGAATCGCGTGCAACAAAGCTGCGGCTTTTTATCGTAAATGAAATATACGCGAAATATATACCTATGGAATAGGTGTGAAATTGGTGTCGTTACCGTGCCGGGTAATCTTATCGTTTCGGCCTGCCTGATATCCATCGTATTTCGTCGACCCACGTATTCCACGTAAAAGAGAAACGAACGAATATTACTACAAAAAAGTGTAGTAAAATATTATTACGAAAGAATGAACGATTTTAGTTAGTCGGTGTTTAAATACTGAGTTCACTATCTTGTATATTTATGAATCGGGATCGCTATTTTGATTCGGCCGTTTCGTTTGTTTCTTCTCCTTTTTGAACCTGGATACGGCCATGCAATCTGTATTCTTATGTAAAAAAAAAACGAAAGTCACACTTGGAGAATATCACTACATCGTCTATAAAAAATATTACGAATTCATTATATTTAAGGAATTTACTATTTTGTATTTTTCTGTTTCTTCCCCTAGAACAAAGGCATATTTGGCACGATTCACATATAACGCAATTTATTTCCTTTATTAAATACATTCCTTCTTACTTTTGGTCAGTAACGTTTCACAACACTCTTCCTCAACGGCAAATATCGGGCGAGCGAAGAAAGGATTGGAGGGGGCTGCAACAAAGTGACTGCGAGGAATAATATTAGGAGATCGCGAAAATGGAGATGAGACGACGGATTATCGTCGCGACGAGAGGAACGTGAAAGTCGGGGCGCCACTTTCGATTACCAAAAAACGGCAAACGTCATCGGCGCGGTCGAATAGTTTCGCGCTCTTGATTCCGGTTGTAATCCGCTTTGAAGACGCGGATTTGCAGCGTTTAGCATTAAACGAGGGATCCCTCGATCGTCGCTTTGTTTGCTACGAAACTCCAGCATCGGATAAACTTTCCTCCCTTTTCTCGTAATCAGGTTACTTGAGAGAAGCTAGTCTCCTCCAGTTGAAGCCCCAGTTTCCATTCTTTTCTCCTCACCACGCGAATCCTTCTAATCGACGCAATCATCGAAATCGTCAACCGATCATTGTCCTTCCCCACCGAGACGGCAAGGCTGGTGGTGGGGATGGTCGATTATCCTGGCGCGCAGGAGGCCATTTCGATATCATTACCACTAATTACCAGCGCGGTAATAATTCCTCGGAGGCGCCGCTTCATCATTGGCAATAAATAGTTGCCAGGTACCACGATATCCGCAGCTAGCACGTGAAACCGCATCTTCGACCCTCCCCTTCGAGCGATACGACGAGCTCGTTTCATAAATCCAGCGAGGGATTCGATCGGTTTCGCCGAAGGGAGGGGAGCTATCTAATTCGCATAAGCACGGCTCGATACATGGAGAGAATTAGCAGCGGCTAATTCGTGAGGGGAGGCTTAACCGTGCAAAATTGCTCGGAGACCGAGCGGAAGTCGATGCGACCCGAGCTGCGGCCACGAGGCTCCCCCTCCCCTCCCAGACGAGAACAATGCGTCCGCCGGTCGATTATAATTCCGCGGCCACGAAAGGCTGACGTTCTAAACGCACCGCGTCTCCGGCTTGGAATCTACATCCAGCCCGGACCTTTGTTCCTCGACCAGGAGGAGGAGGAGGAGGAGGAGGAACTCGTTTCGCTTTCCGACTGGACTGGCTGGAGTAGTAATTAACGAAGGCTTGGAAGTGGGACGAGACGCTTTGCGATCTCGATGCTCGCGCGTTCTTTTGGAAGATGGAAAGTCGGGACGGAAACTATTAACCCGGAAGAGGAAGGGTTGGTGTCCTCTCGATCGATCGTCTCGATCTTTCTTCCCGTCTCCTTGGCGAAGTTGGACTCGTTGAAAAAGTTGGAGAGAAAAGTTTCGAATAAAAAGTTACTTTGAATAATTAATTAATGTTATTAAAATAATGCTCGGATAATAATTTGTTCCCAATTATTTCAATCGACCCGCTTCTTTTCTGCGAACCATATTCATCGTCATTATGCCTCGAATCGTATAAATTATCGAACCTATTAAATTTTCCATTGCTAAGTGTAAGTCATCGAAAAAGATACTTCGTTGTCCTCAATCATCCTTGGTGGGCAATTTTTGTCAGCCAGCCTCCGTCGATACGATTTTTTTTATCCCTTCCTTTGCATCTCTGCTCGTTCAAAACAGGGAGGAACTCCGAGGGACGGATTTAAGGAGTTATCCTCGCGTTTCAATCGCGTCACAGACACCGACGACTCGTTTCCATTATCTCTGTGGATTATCTAAGAGAATTCGCCGGGAGACGCGAGATTCGAAGGAAGACGGTCGAAACTCGGGGCTGCTTCGAGTCGTTAAACTAATTCCACGAGTTAATCCGCGTCCCGCCGAGCTCGACGCTTCCTCCCCCCAGGATTAGAAATAAGAAAGGACGGTCTCTAACTGCTGTTTCGCGTTGGGACGAAGAAAAAGTAAAATTGGATGCTTGCTCCCGTGCGGATGCATCCGTTCTTGAAATTCGGTTCGCTGTATCGAGCGAAGCGAAAGCTGAAACGTAGATGGTTCCCCTTTGTGGTTCCTCGGACGTCTCTTCCAGCGGAACGAAAATTAATCGTCCTCTTTGACGCACCCCGGTGTGTAAAAGTATTCGCGCGTAATAAGTTATCATCAAAAGCGAACAGAGAACTCTGTTCAACACTGGAAACTGGAAAAAATATTAAAATATTCAAGTTTCGAATTTTTATTTATAGGATCGAAGAAAAAGATTCCACCCTCTTCTTTAAACCTCTTCTCTCGAGAAATCATTCTTCTCAAAATCCCCCTTCCTTTCTACAAATTTAACAGGGATTCGCGTTCACCGCCCATCTTTCGATAGATTTCGATAGAAAAATAGGGATTGTGAAATTTTCGAAAATCGAATTGAATTTCGCGCCGCCAAGCTTGATACGCTACTGGAACGCCCCGCGAGAGATGGGCACGGATCGATATAAGTTTCAGTGGTACGACGCGTAATTCCGCGGCCCGTTTTTGTCCTCCTCGGAAGAGAGATCCCATTCCGACCAATTAAAATCGGATCGAGGAGATGGCGCGAGGAGAGACGTCCACGCTTTTCTCCTTTTTCGCGTCTTGTCCACGTTGTCTTTTCCTCCCAAGAAGAATGGGGGAAAAGCCGCTTCGAGAGAAGAGGGAATTCCCGTACATAAATTTTCGTCGATAGCGATCTCTCTCTTAGGACGAGGGTCGAGAGTTATCGTTCCTATTAAAGGATTATCCGGGGGAGCGTATTTTTCTTTCGTTTACACGGGGGTATATCGCTAATTGCCAGCTCGTAACTCGTACTACTAATTTCAACAGATTATTAACAGTGTTTAACTTCAGTTTTAATTAAGATCCGTCTTCCTCCCTTTCCTTCTTCTTTCGCTTCGCTTCCGCGAGAAGCAGATATCGGAATACTCCTACGTTTATTAAAAACTGAACGTTTAACACGGAAAAATTGAAAGTTGGGGGGAAAAGTATATTAAATTTGATCCTGGATCAAATTATACAAAGCGCGTTTAAACATTCTCGAAAAGTGAAATGGAAGAAATAAAAAAGAAAAAAGAAGCAAGAATGAAAGAGAAAAAGGAAGAAAGACATTTTTTTAAGAAGGATAATAAGAATGATACAATTTACCGAGTGAGTTGCTCATAAACAATCCGTTATCTTTAAAAAGAAAAAAGAGAAAGAAAAGAGAACGAAAGAAAGGCACGAGTAACGATGAATCCTTCCAGTCGATAAAGTCGACTAATGGAAAGGCGAACAAAGGAGGTGGGTACATAAATCACTATAAACATTAATATTCGATATGGGAAACACGGAATCCCTCTTTAATACGTTTAAAAAGTGGGCAGGAAGAAGGATACGTAAGAAATCGTGATCGGGGTTCCCTCGATCGCAACACGTACGTTTCCGGTCGGCTTCGTACATCTTCGTAGGGAACAGCGTCGTTCGTAAATCCTAATGAACGATGTCAGCGAGCACGTACGTTCCCCCCCTGCTTCCCTGGAATTATCGAAGGAAATAAATCTCTCGAATCTTCACAAGAGAATCTCGTGAGATCGACGAGAATTATATCGTGGGTATGAATATTAACAGATCGAAGGGATATAATCGTGTTCAATTTTGACGCACAATCCGTTTCAAGCGCGACAAGGCACGGCC